TGGTGGTGGGCCCGCGGCCGGGGAAGGCCGGGAGCCTCTGCCCCTCACAGGTGCGGGAACAGCTCAACTTGGTCTGGGCGGTGCGGTCTCAGCCAATGGGAGCGTGGCTCGGGCCGAGCTCCCTCGGCTCCCAGCCTCTGGTCTGCCGGAAGGGGCTGCGGCCCTGCGATTGGCCCGGACGCGGGGCTGCCGGCGCGCTTGGCGAGTTGGCGCCGGCGAGTCTCGGGCGTCCCCTGCCTCTGACAGGGCGTCCCTGTCAGAGACAGGGACCCGGGCGGTCTGCGCCCTGCTGGCGGAGGGTTTGGAGCCGCGCGGGACGTTGAGCTCATTTGAGCTCTGCGTGGTTTTTTCCAACCAGTCTGTCAAAATCTGCCCAGAGTCATCTGATACAAAGTCCCCATCTAACCCTGCCAGGGGTTACAGAGGCACACGTTTCGTTACGGTGGGCTTCCGGCTGCCAGGATCCTTTATGACGCATCAAATATCCTAGCACTTTCTACCAGAGCGTTGCAGCCCGGCCGTGCCCGGGACATATACCCGTGGCGGGCGAGGAAGCTGAACTTTGAAATAAGTGTAGCTCGCATAGTCTCTCAATACACATTTACAGGGTGGCTGCTTCCTGTCAGACACCAGAGTAGTCATTTTGGATGAGCCGGAGGTCAATGAAACAATCCAGGTTGAGACTGGTGGTCAGATGGCGGAGCGGGGTGCTGTGAATGGTTATAAGCAGAAATACCTCTAATACTACCCGGCCTAGGTTAAGTGCTATTTCAGAGGCACATAAGGAAGCAGTGAAAATGCAAATATGGAGCGCGGGGTCTTAACCACTGACCTGCTAGGGAAGTCCCGCAACAAGAGATTGATTTTTGATTTAGGGGATCAGGAAAGGTTTCTTGAAGGAGGTTATTTGAATCAGTTAGGGCTTAGTGGATGAGGGAGACCTCAGATTTGGTATAGGATGAGCAAGGCACAAAAATTGGAAAGTACAGGGCTTATTGAGAGATGGTGGCAAATGGTATAATGAGTAGATGAGAGAAGTATAGTTGGAGATAGGATTTGGAGGGCCCCGCTGAGGACCAGGATGCTGGGCTTGTACGCTCTGATTTGCAATGTGGTCAGCGCTTATGAATAGGATGACTCCTTAAACTGTCAGTTGTACTAATGTCATTTTTTTACATCTGTATGAAAAATCTTGGAAATATCTTTGATTCTTCCTTCTTTCATAGCCTACCTTTAATTGGTCAGTAAATCACAGTGGGCTTTACCTTCAAAACACACCAGACTCTGACCATGTCTAATTAGCTCCATGGTTTCCACCGGGGCTGGCAGCCCTTTTATATATGTCCAGGAAGGATCTCTTCACATTTTGCTGGAGTTCTGCAGTGCACAACCTGCATGGCTGTACATTATGGTCCTGGGTTACCGCCATAGATTCTAAATGGTCTCCCTGCTTCTGCCCTTGTCCATCCTCAGTCTATTCTTAACCCAGTGAGAGTTATCATTTAAAAATATAAGCCTGATATGGTATTCCTCTGCTGAAAACTCTTAAGTCATTCAGATATTATGTGCCTACTGTGTACAGGTCTGACTTGAATTTGGTAGGCAAGCCCTGTTCTCCTAGGGATGGAATGCCTGCTTAACCTGGTGGTTGTAATTATGGCCATTTTGATAGCTCTGGTAACACTTTCTCTTGGGGAAGGACAGATGTTTCCTTGACAGAAGTGGAGAGGGAGAGGCTCCTGTTCCTGTTATCATTAAGAATTAATGATAATGATCTGCAGAAGGAACCTGCTTTCAGTGTGTTTTCACCAATATTGTTTTGGCTGCAACTAACAGAAACATTAAGCATGCTTAAACCAACACAGAGAATAAAGACATCACATGCCTTACAGAGCTGAAGACAGGAGGGCCGCTGGGTCTCAGGAGCAGGAGGCTCTGTTGTTTTTTTCTCTCTTCACTTCCATCTCTGCTTCTTTCTACATGTGTGCCTGACTCCTTTCTCTCTTTGCAGATTGGCTTTCTCCCATCTCTCTCTCTGGCTTCAGGCTCAAGTGTCGCATAGTGCCCACCCCCCTCCCCCCAACTCCAGCAACCAGATCACATGTCTCTGCTCCACAGATGCTGCTTTGCATTCTTTCACAGTGCAGGGGACAGAATGATGGATTCATCTGACCAACTCTTCCATGGCCAGAGGGTGGCGGGGAGGGTCTCACTGTACAACTACAGCTGCAGAGGCCAAATCCTGTGGGCAACAGGCAAGTCTGAAAGGGACAGGGATCAGCTGAGCAAGACAGACACCCGAAAGATGGCAACTGCTGAGAGTGTGATGTGTTCTCTGAAGAGAAATGGCCATCACCTGAGTCTAATCTGGTGGCTAGTGTCCGTCAGACTAATCCAAGTGTCTGCATTAGGTTTGCCTTCGCTGAACTGGGCTATAAAGTTAAATCCTTGGCTTTTATTGAAGGTCCCTGTTAGAGGCAGCTATATAAAAGTCACTTCTTCATTTACGATAAAATCGTAGTGGGAACGTCACCTACAATATCATTTGGTGTTCCTGTATAATGTCTTTAGACTTTCGTTTCAGAATAGTTATCTCTCTAAGGGATAATAGGCATCTTATTTGAATAAGGACTTTAAAACTTGTCAGGTTTCCTTTTTGCATGGCCTCAAGGAAGCCTCCAATAACTGTAGTTAACACGTATAGCTGAGCTGAGCTGAGCTGGAACTTCTAGGTAAGATTATGCTAAGTGATCAGAAGGGAAATAGCCAAAGGATAATAGACATCTATTTGGTAAGAGATCTCAAACTCTAATGCCCACAATGTCCAGGCAGTTAACAGAGGTGATGTGGGTAGGCTTGAGATAGTAAGTGAAAACTTTTTGTTATTGAGTTCAAGCATAACATGGCTACCTCGTTACATTGCCTTTTAAAACACTAGGCAGGCCAAACAAAATAACCAAGTAGAGTATGTTGGAAACTGGCTGCCAGTTGTCAGACCTTGGAGTCTGTCACACAGGTTATGGGCTTTGAGCGCCTCAGTGTGGCGTCCCTACACAGGATGGTTCTTAGCTTAAACCCAACTCACCCTCCCCAGTGAAACAGGACCTCCCTCTCTCACTTGGTAGTACCAAGACCCTTCCAGACTTCATGTCCAGAAACTTGAATTCTCTTTCCTGCCTAAGTCCTGCCTCCTGAATTCCTATTTGCTGCTGATGCCCTGCCTCTTCTGAGGATGTCAGTACTGGGAATGTTTGCCGCTTGCAGGGGAGACCTTGACCCTGACCCACAGGAATGCAGCCAGCTGTGTCTTCTGCAAGATAGTTCTGTCAGAATGCAGCAAGTGAGCCCAGCATCAAGACAAGGATGCACACAGGTTTTGTTTTTTTTTTTTCTTTTGGAGAGGGGATGCTTTCCGTGGGCTACACATGGGTTTTGCATTGACAATGGAAAGGAGGTGCCCTTGAGAACAGACCTAAGTGTTCTTAGAATTCGAAAAGTTTCTCCCAGATTCCAGAATAATACGTGAACATCTTGATTTTGTGACAGTATCATATAAATTTGGTCACCCTGGAGCATCTAATTGAATCCAAAGCTAAAGAGGTGGTCCCCGCCCTCACAGGGGCTCTGCCTGTCCCCTTGCAGTGCCCGCCTCCCACGGCCATTTCTGTTTCCAAACCAAAAGGCAACTGAGTGGCACTTCAAGTTTGAGAAACTAATGTTTACAGAGACTAAAGCCCAGCACAAGACATTAAGATGACAAACAGCCCTGAAGAGTACAGGAATTCCACTGCCTATAGCATTGTGTTTGGGGTGAAAATAGCAACATATTTAAGGAATGTAAAAAGGTAGTAGAAGAAAAAGATATCTAAAATTCTAGCATTTTTGTGTATGAGAGATAACATTGTGAATAGTGCATTATTAAAGGGACTGAGTTTTCATGCAATTTAAGCTATTTTGATGCCAGTGCTTTTAGATATTGCTGACTCAAAGGAAAATAAAATTAAAAGCAGCTCTCTGTTTGGAGAGACACTGAGGCAAACACTGAGGCATTCTGTGCCACAGACATTGAGCAGAAGGGATGGAAAGTCCTTGAATTACAGACGACTGGATTTTAAATCACCCAGTGGTGGTGACCTCAGACTCCAGTCCTGGAGGGAGGAGGCAGAGATGTCTGTGCTCAGCCAGCCGGTCAGTACTTGGGAGGGGTGCGGGACACCCACAGCATGGGCCTGTGCCTTCCATGAAGGGCCAGTCTGTGTGTGGGGATGGGGGTGAGGTTCAAGCACACAGCTCACCCCCACTCAGCAGGGACTCACTGAGTGCCTCCTTCGTGTCAGGTTCTTCCAGGCATGGGGGATTCAGTGGTGACTAAGATGGACAAGGTGCCTGGCCTCACTGAGCTTATGATCTAGAAGGGGGAGATAAATAAAGAAACAAGGGAATCTTGGATTGAAGGGCAATCTTATGGAGAGCAACCCCTATGTGTTGCATGGGGGGTTGGGCAGCCTCTCTGAAGTCAGAAGGGTCCAAAGGACTCAGCCCTCTATAGAGAGGAAAGGCAAGGTCCACGGCCCTGAGGCGAGAAAGAGCTCCGTGTATGTTCAGAAGGTCAGCGTGGCTACAGAGCAGTGAGCACAGGGGAGCGGGTACCGGATAGGAAGGGAGGCAGAGGCCAGCTCCAAAAAGGCATGGAGAGGAGGCTTTTAGTCAAGGGAGTCACGTACGTACCTGACTGGTGTTGGAAAGACCTTTCTGGCTGCAGTGTTGAGACTGGAGTGTGGCGAGTAGGGGCCGGAGCGGAAGCAAGAGCCTACTGCACAGTCCAGGAAGGATCACGCAAGACAAAAGAGCCCTATTTGTTTTCCTCTCCTGAAGATTAAACAGATGAAACACCGCCACCTGCCTTCTGCAGTAAATACTGTGGTTGTTGGCTAGTTAGTGAACTTATCACAGACCCACTGGCGCAGGTGACTGGTGATCAGATTAGGGACCGCAGCAAAATGGTAGGGGAGGAGCTGCCTCTCGGGCAGAACCTTGTTACTGGTAAGGGCAGTATAACAAACCACCGGCAGGTGTGCAAAGAGAGACTAGGACTGTTCCCCAGGAAAAGAGCAACAGCTCCCAGGGCTGGAATTGCCTTGCTCAGCTCCCTCCCTACCACCCTTTCCTTCCCTTAGGCCAGGAGGGATCACTAGAGGGGAATTAACCAGAACAGGAGGACAACTAATGCACACACCCATCTACAGCTCATAATGCGAAGCTAGTCACTATGCTGAGTAGCCTTACTGAGACATGGCCTTGCTGCAACAAGTTTGATTTAATATGGAAAGGGAGTGGTAGGGTGGTGGGAGAGACAGTGTGTGTGTGTGTTTTAATTTAGGTTGATTAGAGTGTGTCTCATTTTGTAGCTTCAGTCTCCGTGCTATGATGAGTTACTGATGAATTCAGCCCCAGAGCTGGACCCTGTGCATGGTGGGGTGGAGAAAGGTGGAGAGCTGAATCAAAAGATACCTGGCCCAGGGCTGAAAAAGCTGCCTGGAGGCATGTGGACAAATTGAGATGGATGTTTTGCTGGATATGGGGAACACTGAGAATGGGACTCATGGAGCTGGAATCCCTGAGGGGGCGGGACCCTGGGCGCCCCAGTGGTTGCTGCACAGCCTAGTTTGAGGGTCACTGGTGCTATACCCTCCTCATGCTACAAAAGGGTGATGACTCACCCAGGGTTACCCCATGAGTTGGTGGCACAGCTGGAACCAGAACCCAGGTTTCCAGATGTCCCAGCCTCCTGACTCTTTTCATCACATGAGGCTGTAGCTTGAGAGGAGGGTGGCAGGCGGGGACTGCCTGGTGCCTTGACAGAACCTGGGTCAAACAGAGCCCACTTTAACTTTCTCAGCCTGGAAGGAAAATGGCCCCTTCTGCCTAAACTCCTGAAGGCAGCAACACAATGCTGAGAACACATTTTATGTTTCAGAACCCACCCGGAGGAGCCTGGCCATTCTGCCTCTCGTGGCCACTGTGCTGACTGCCCGCTTCTCCAGACCCCTGTCACAGCCCCCGAGGAAAACCCTGAATTTCTCTGACAGAGTAAATGGAGCAAGGTAAGAAAATGAAGGGTGGAGCTGACCTTGAGGGTTACACTTTCTGGGCAAAGCAGAGGTCTTCACACATAATAAGGCTTGACTCTCAAAGGTGTCCCTCAGTACCCGCTGTCCACCAGCAAAGGACACTCAAAGGTGTTGTCGGAAGACAGAGACCTTCCCATGTCACACAAGGCACCGAAGAATATCTTTCATCAGATTTTTTTTTAAACTTTTTATTTTGAAGTAACTCTACACTTATACAAAAGTTGTAAAAATAGTACAAAAGTTTCCCGTAACCCCTTCGCCTAACTTCCCCAAGTGTTAACATCTTACAAAACCATAGTGCAGTCATCCAAACCAGGAAATTACCACTGATATAATTCTATTAACTATTCTGTAGACTTGATTCAAGTTTCACCAGATGGCCCACGAATGGACATTTTCCTGGTCCAGGATACAAACCAGGGTTCCCAGTACATTTAGTTGTCATGTCTCCTTACTCTCTTCCTGTCAGGGGCAGTTCCTCAGTCCTGTTGTTCATGACCTTAACACCTTGGAAGAATGTCTCTCAGTGTGGGCTGTGGGATGTCCTCGTGTTTAGATTCAGGTTTGTGTGTTTGGAAGAAACCCACTCAGGTGAGGTGGTGCCCTTCTTAGTGCATCACATCAGGAGGCACAGATCTCATTACTTTAATCACCTGGTTAATGGCTCTTTTAAAATCTCGCACATGAAACTATAGTTAACTAAAATGTCGTGAGACTTCACTGAACTGGGTGATTTAGAGAAAGCATTAAGTACAAAGTAAACAAGCAGCTCTTTTTCTTTGAGAGCTTCTGGAAATTGCCTTTTCCAAGGGAATTTAGTGTGCTCTGCTACCTCATTTTCTTCTTTTGCAGCTAGAGCAAGGAAAAAAATAATGCCCTTTCTTTTATATTTGAGAGGAGTGAAATCAAGTGACAGGTTAAATTCAAAGACCCAGCAGCTAGAAGATTGATGGGTATTTTCTGTGCCAATAAATATATCTAGAAGAACATGCAGTGAGGTTTTTAGCAGCATTTGCTTAAAAGCATTTCCATAGGATACAGAAGCTTGGTTGGAGGTGAGGCTTCAACTGCTGGAGGACATCATATAAGAAGAGTTGATATCCCATCAAAGAGGGAATGGAGCTTGATTCTGTTAAAGGGCTTTTGAAAGAAGATTTGCTGTAATTTTTTCAGTGAATGACTCACAGAAATGATAAAATCTGTCTCAAAAATGGCTTTCAGAGATTTCTGGAGATTTTTTATGGAGGAGAAAATAATCCCAAAGGAAGTTTAAATACTTTTACAAAGATTTTATCCTCAAATTAAAGGGAGTGATACAACCATTCTGTACCCATACAAACATTCTTTTTTTCACTTTAGTACAGTATTCAATAAATCACATGAAATATTCAACACCTTATTATTTTTAAAAATTAAAAGGAAGTAAGGCATTAGTCAAGCTTCTGGCTCATTTGAAGGGAAAGAAAGGCTATCCCAGGAGACTCTGAGTCTTCTGGAAGGATTGTAGAAATCACCTGGTTAGGCTAAGGGGTTGGGCACAGGGTGGTCAGGGGCAGAGCTGAGTCAGAGTGCATTAGCTGTCCTCCAGGAAAAGTTGTCGGCAGAGGTCAGGGAGGGAGACCCAGATGTGTGAGGTGGAAGGAATGGTGGGTGATTGCTGTGCCTGGATCAGACAGGAGGTCTTTGGGTGGCCCGATCATTTTGCTTGAATCTCAGTTGGAAGGGGCCTCATGCTCCAGTCCCCACCTGTGGGTGATCCTTTGATCACATCCTTAACAAGTGACCTTACAGCCTCTATCTGAATATCTCCAGCCATGGGGTAGTCAGTACCTCTCACAGCAGACCTGTCTTTGGACAGTACTATTATAAAGTCCTTCATACTGGGCAGAAATCTTTCCTCTGTAAATGCCACCCCTTGTTCCTGGGTCTGCCTTCTGTTATCATACTGAACAAGTTAATCTCTTATCCCTGGGGATACTATGCCAGCCTAATACCCCCGACTTCTCTTATTGCATGTTTTTTCATTGCTCATTTCCCATGGTTTTCCCGCTCAGCATCCAGGTTTCCCACCTGAATGATGCCCATTTGGCCTGAGCTCTTTCTTGAGACGTGGTGCCACACCCCTCCCCTACCCTACATGGCTCAGAGCAGCAGTCACCCGGTACACAGCACCTGTCCAGATGAAACCTCCCCAGAAGTGGCCAGATGCGGTCCCTGCCCTGACAACCTACTCTGCTTCCTGGCTCTATACAGCCCTCAGATTTTGGATTTCTCAAGGCTCTGGCCCCGCCCAGGACATCACTTCCCAGATTCTGGTTACACACACCAGCTGGCTCAGCCCCAGTGCTCAGCTCTGCCTGCCCAGGCATGGTGTGTAAGACTCCAGGGCAGCCTGACCTGGGCAGAATGGAGAGTGGCCCTTGCCTCCCTATTCCTGTCCAGCCTAGGCTCACATAGCTTCTTTTGGCGGCCACATCACTTGTGATTCGTAGTTGATCAGACTAATTATTTTTTTCACAGGTGCTGCTGTGTGAGACCTCATTCCTCCCCAGCTGCCCTTGCGTCATCAACATTTGTCCTTCCTAAACCCATCTTGTTAGATTCAGGCTGTCAGGCTGACTCCTGACTCCTCTCAGCAGAAAGCTGGGTAACTGGTTATTGTTGCTGATTCGTGACCGAAGGAACAAAAGGGATAGAGGCATAGATTGGAAGGAGGGAAAAGAAGCCAGCATTAATGCCTTGGCCAGCACAGCGTGGTGTCTCGAATGTGGCCTGGTGAGTTCCTGGATGCCAGTGCTCTGGGGACCAGCTGGTTCTTCCACAGGCCTGTGGGGAAATGCCGGATTGCAACCTCTCCACCCCATCTGATTGCTCTTCTAGGTTAGGATGGAAATCAGCAAGCTCTCGTCCTCTGAATCTGGAGGCCACCTCTTTGGGATTCACCCCTCAGCAAGTTTACTGACTATCCTGAGTTTAACTTGTACCACCTGTGAGACTGGCATAGCCATTAGAGTAAGTGGTTTGGGTGACCAGCAGTTTGCTGCGACCACAAGACCCTCCTGGGGAGAGGTGACCCTCCAGGGCAATGCTCACTATTTTATATTATGGGATTCGGACTTAACCCCTCAGGGGCATTCTTACCCTTGATAAGCCAATGTATCAGGACTGCATCACAATTAGAAGGGCAAAGACTTCCAGAAGGCCAGGGCTGGAGAGGTATCAGTGGCCCCAGGCTTCTTGTCTCCTTCTGCTCTGTCATCCTGCTGATGGCCCTCACCTTGGCTGCCGCCATGTTCCTCCACCTCCAGCCTCAGTCCAGGCAGGAAGAAGCAAAGCAGCATGGAAGAAGGGAGGAGCTGCCCCTGCATCAGGAGAGCAAAACTCTCCCAGCAATCATTGCAGACTTCCACTTGCACCTTATGGGCCAGGGGTAGGTCACATGATTGCTGGGTAGGCGATAGTCTAGAAAGAATTGGGCATATTGGAACCCCAGACAACATTTTGGTAGTGAGACAGATGAGAAGAATAGCTATTAGCAGCAAACAGTAGTGTCTGCCTTGGCTGGGCTGTGGCCTAGAGCTAATTTTGTCCCCGGAGATATTAGGACTTGGCAGTCAAGAGGCTTGAAAAGGAAACCCCATGGGAAAAAAGTCCTTTTTCTCTTTTCCTAAGGCAGCAGTTACAAACTCTGGTTGCAAGTTAGAATCACCTAGAGCGCAGTGGGGGAAAAAAAAATCCCCTTGCCCCACACCTGGGGACTCAGATTTCATTCATTAGGGGTGAGGCCAACCATGGGAACAGTTTAAAAAGCTTCCTTGGTTCCTTAGTTCTTCTTCAACTATTTTGGGAAGAATTTCAATCGCATACAAAAGTAGAAAGTAGTAAATTGATCCCTGGTGTACCTGGGCTTCAACAGTTATCAACTCATGACCAGTCTTGTTTCATCTGTGTTCCCACCCACTTTCCTCCCCCTCCCTCTACTGGATTGTTTCAAAGCAAATCCTGGACGTCATGTTGGTGTTTAGGTATCTATTGCTAAATGGTAAGATCTCTTTTTAATAACGTGAGCACATAATCATGATCGTTTTACCAAGTGATTCTAATAAACAATCAGGGAGGAGAACCTAAGAACAGCTGCTCTGGACCTACATCAACCAGGCCTTTCCCAATACTGCCTTTACTGGAATCAGGTGTTGGTTTAACATGCAGATTTCCAGGGGCCACCCCATCCTACTGAATCAGAATGTCAATCAGGGACTTGGGAGCCTGCATTTTAACAAGCTTCCCAGGTGCTTGTTAACTAAAGTTAAAGAATTGAGGTGCTAAGGGCTTCCTAGCCCCAAGACCCCTCTGAACTGAGAAGTAGCCCCAAGCCAGGGATCCCGTGGCACCTGCAGGAGCTGCAAAGTGAGAGAAGAAATAAGAGCAGGATGATGCAGTCCTAGCAGTGGCCAAAGGGGAAGGCTGAGAAACCAAGTGGTGTCCAGGAGGGCACTCCTGTGTCAGCTGGAGCTCCCCAGCAGTGTTCTTGGCCCTCGCCTTATCAGGGTTCTGCCTCTTGGGGATTGGGTGTGGAGGGATGGAGCCTTGTGCTCTCTGGAGAAGTAGAAATATGCCATTGATAGCTGGCTATGAGCAGTAGCGCCTGGTATAATACACCCAGAGATAGTCAAGTTTGAGTGGATATATTTGAATATGGGGAGGTGGGTTAGAGAAAATCTGGCAACAAATCAGTTTGAAATACTTTTTTTCTTGCTGTGACCTTTTTGTTACTTTAAAAAATATCAAATAGTGCAAAAGGATGGCAGGGGACAAGGACAGTTCTGCCAGGGACACCTTGTTCTTTTTGTACAGCAAATCCTGGGGTTATGGTAAAACAGTGATTGATTTTAGATAAAGTCATTTAACTAGTTTTGGGTGTAGTGACCATACCACTCTGCTTACTTGTGACCGATGCCCCCACTAGAGGTAGTGTCAGAGAAAGCCAAGTAGGGGCCAGGACTTACATTCTCACCCAGTAGTAATAAGGAACCCTGCCTGCTTGGGGTGGAGGGTGGAGGAGTGTCAGAGGACACCTAGTAGAGATGGAGAGTTAGGACTTCCTCCATCTCTCAGCAGTAACGAGACCATACACTCCCATACAGTGGAGAGCAGTAGTGAGGCACTCTGACCCCTCACAGCCAGGGAGGTATTGGTGAAGACCCAGCTGGAAGCCGGAACTCCCATCCGTACCCAGCAGTAACTCCTTCCAATTTACTTTATGAAGCTAGTGTTAGCTGATTCCAAAAACAGACAAAGACTGTACAAGACAGAGGACTGCAGACCAATACCCCTCATGAATATAGGTGCCAAAATTCTTAAAATATTAGCCAGTAGAATTCAGCAATATATGAAAAGAATTGTAAGCCATGAAAAAGTGAATTTGTTCCAGGGCTGCAAAGATGGCTCGTTGCTAAAAATCAGTTAATGTAATCCACCAAACTGAAAGCCAAAGAAGAAAAATCACATGAATCTATTATTGCAGAAAAAGCAAAATTTAACACTCATTTGTGATAAACACTCTCAGAAAACTAGGCATAGATGGAAACTTCCTAAACTTGATAAAGAGCATCTATGAAAACCATGTAGCTAACATTATATTTCCTGGTGAAAGACTGAATGCCTTCTCCCTAAATGGGAGCAGGGCAAGAATGTCCACTCTCACCACTGACTCGCCATAGTGCGATAAGGAAGTGCAATAAAGCAAGAAAAGGAAATAAAAGTCATACAGGTTGTAAAAGAAGAAATAAAACTGTCCCTATTTGCAGATTACATGATTGACTACATAGAAAATCCCAAGGAATCCACAGAGCACTCCTAGAACTAATAAGTGAGTTCAGCATGTCAGAGGAAACAAGTGCAACATCAAAAAAATCAATTATATTTCTATACACTAACAATGAAAATGTGAAAACCAAAATTTGAAATGCAATACCATTTACATTCACTCAAAAAACGAAATACTCATATACAAATAACAGCAGGACACAGGATACAAGATAACACGCACAAGTCAGTGTATTTCTATATCCTAGCAATGAACTTGTGGATATCAAAATCTAAAATAATACCATTTACAATTGCTCAAAAGAATGAGTTACTTAGGTATAAATACAACAAATTATACAGGATTTGTACCCTGAAAACGATACAATACTGATGAAAGAAATCAAAGATCTAAATGAATGGAGACCCACACTATGTTCAGGGATTGAAAGACTCAAAAAAGTAAAGATGTTGACTTTCTCTAAATTGATATACAAGTTTAGCACAATTTCTATCAAAATCCCAGTCAGATTTTGATAGAAAAAGACAAGATTGTTCTAAAATTTATATGAAAAGGCAAAGGAAATAGAATAGCAAAAACAATTTTGAAAAAGAAAAATAAGGTGGGAGCGCATAGCTCAATGAAACAGAGAATCCAGAAATAAAACCACATGGATATGCCCAACCCAATATTGACAAAGGTGCAAAAGCAATTCAATGGAGGAAAGATAACATGTTCAAAAAATGGTGCTTGAGCATGGATATTCATAGGCAAAAACAAAAACAACCAACTTTGACTTATCTCACATTTTATACAAAAGTTAACTCACGATGATGGATCATGGACTTAAATTATAAAACACAAGACTAGGGACTTCCCTGGCGGTCCAGTGGTTAAGACTCCGACCTTCCAATGCAAGGCACACGGGTTCGATCCTCGGTTGGGGAACTAAGATCCCACATGCCTCGTGGTATGGCCAAAAAATGAAAAAACAGAAAAGAAAAAAAACCAAGACTATAAATCTTTTAGAAAAATAGAGGAGAAAATCTTTGGGTTGGGGCATAGGCAAAGAGTTCTGAAACTTGACACCAAAATATGATTGATCCATAAAAGGAAAAATTGAATAATCAGACTTCATCAAAATGAAACACTGTTTCTCTACGTAAAGATCCTGTTAAGAGGATGAAAAGACAAGTTAGACTAGGAGAAAATATTTGCATACCACATATGCAACAAAGGACTAGCATCTAGAACATATAAAGAACTCTCAAAACAATAGTGAAAGAACAAACACTCCAATTACAATAGAATATGCACAAAAGACATAAAGAGACATTTTAATCAAAGGGGATATACTGATGGCAAATAAGCACATGGAAAGATTTTCAACATCATTAGCCATTAGAGAAATGCAAATTAAGATCACAGTGGATATCTTCACACAGTTACCAGCATGGTTAAAATAAAAAATAGTGATACCACCAAATGCTGGCAAGGATATAGGGAAACTGGATCACTCATACATCACTGCTGGGAATGTAGAATGCTACAGGCACTCTGGAAAACAGTTTAAAAGTTTCTTAAAAAACTAAACATGCAACTACCGTATGACCCAGAGATTGCTCTTCTGGGCACTTACCCAGGAGAAAAACAGGTTCACACAAAACCTGTACAGGAATGTTCCTGGCTGCTTTATTTTTAATAGCCCTAAATTGGAAGCAACCCAGATGATCTTCAATGGCTGAATGGTTAAATGAACTGTGGTACAGGATACCATAGAGTACAATTTAGCAATAAAAAGGAACAAATTATTGATACATGAGACAATAGACAATCAGATGAATCTCTAGGGAATTATGTTGTGTGAAAAAACCCAATCCCAAAAGGTTAATATTCTATGACTCCATTCTTGAAATGACAGAATTATAGAGGTGGAGAACAGATTAGTGGTTAAAGAGGATGTGGGAGTGGGTGTGGCTGTAAAAGGATAACACAAATGATCCTTGTGGTGGAACTGTTCTGTATTTTCACTGCATATGTCAATATCCTGGTTGTGATATTGTACTAGAGTTTTGCAAGATGTTACCATTAGGGGAAATTGGGTAAAAGGTACAGGGCATCTCTCTGTATTCTTAAATTCATGTGAATCTAGAATTATTTCAAAATAAAAAAACTATCAGGAAGCCATATAAAACCTCAGGGTTAAGACGTTGCATTTGTAAAAGGCTTTGTTAACAGAGGTCTATCACTGGAAGGCTCTTCCTACACAGTGGCAAAAATGTCCACTGCAACTGCTGGCCCACTTTGTCCCAGACTAGTAACCTGTAGGAAACAGGTCCTCATCCTAAGTGGTACCAGCAGGTTGTCCTCAGGGGTTTGGGGTGGGAGTAGTGAGTAGGGTGGGTACTGGTGCCTGAGGGCCTGTTGAGTTGCTTCCACCCCAGAACAAGGTCTGGTGTGACCACAGCCTCTGCTCATGGCTTTCTTTCCTCTTGCAGAGGCTTGCTGCTGTTTCACTCTGCCTCCTTTGTCCCTGTTGACCGTCGGACTTAGACGCTGCTTCGGTGAACCCAGTGAGTGGCAGCCTGGCTACCTGGGAGCCAGCCAGGTGGTCGGAGCCCTTCTCCCTGGGCTCCCAGGCCCTGACCCACCCTCAGAGTAAGGGCTTCAGTGCTTCGAGGGCACTCAGAGCCACTCTCTCACTCGCTGAACAACCCCTGCCCCATCAAATGAAGTTAGGGGTTAAGAGTTTAGACTCCGAAATCTCTCAGTCCTTCTTTCAGTTCCAGGTCTATCGCTAATTACGTTGGGCATTTTAAAATGTCTATTTCCTCACTTGTAACGTGATATAATAATCATACTTATTATACGGAGTTACTGTGAGAATTAAAATAATGCATGCACAGTGCCTTGCCCATGGTAGGTACTCAGTACTTGACGATGAAGATGACAGTGATGATGGTGATGGTGATGATGGTGATTGTAGATGAGGAAACTGAGGTCCAGAAAGAGGAGGTAACTTCCCCAAGCAATATTGCTAGTTGGTGGTAGAGTCTGGGTTAGAACCTGGTCTCTTGATTCTGAGTCCAAGCATTTCTACTATACCAGGGTGCTTCTCCAAACAGCAAGAGACAAGTGGGGAGGGCCAGGCCTGGCCCACTCAGGAAGCCCTAATTTTTACTGCCCAGAGGAGGCCTGGTCATTCAGCCCTCAGGATACTGGGCTCCTAATGTGTGGTCTGACCTTTTAAAACAGGTTGCCAGCAAAGCTGTCTTGGTCACAGGCTGTAACTCTGGATTTGGGTTCTCCTTCGCCAAGCATCTGCATTCAAAAGGCTTCCTTGTATTTGCTGGCTACTTGATGAAGGTAAGAGATGGGTCATCTTCATAATCATTGTCTTTTTTTTTTTTTTTGCGGTACGCGGGCCTCTCACAGTTGTGGCCTCTCCCGTTGCGGAGCACAGGCTCCGGACACGCAGGCTCAGTGGCCATGGCTCACGGGCCTAACCACTCTGCGGCATGTGGGGTCTTCCCGGACTGGGTCACGAACCTGTGTCCCCTGCATCGGCAGGTCTACTCAACCATTGCGCCACCAGGGAAGCCCATCATTGTCCTTCTATACATAGTCATTGTTTGGTAGGGTTTTTAAATTGCAATCAAATACACATAAAATAAAATTTACCATCTTAACCACTTTTAAGCGTACTGTTTAGCGGTGTTAAATATATTCACATTGTTGTACAACCATCACCTCCATCCGTCCCCATAACACTTTTCATCTTGCAAAACTGAAAGTCTATACCTAATATAAACAATAACTGCCCATGCTCCCCTCCCCTCCAGTCCCTGGCAACCACCATTACATTATCTGTCTTTATGAATTTGACTACTCTAAGTACCTAATATAAGTGGACTCGTGCAGTGTTTGTCTTTTTGTGACTGGCATAATGTCCTCAAGGTTCATCCATGCTGTAGCATGTTACAGAATTTCCTTCCTTTTTAAGGCTGAGTAATATTCCACTGTGTGTATATGCCATATATTGCTTATCCATTCATCTGTCAATGGACAATTGGGTTTCTTCTACATTTTGGCTATTGTGAATAATGCTGTTATGAACATGGGTGTACAAATATCTCTTCAAGATCCTGCTTTCGATTCTTTGGGGTATATACCCACAAGTAGAATTACTGGATCATATGATGATTTTATCTTAAATTGTTTGAGGAACTGCCACACTGTTTTCCACAGTGATTGTACCATTCTACATTCCTACTAACAGTGCACAAGAGTTCCAGTTTCTCTATATCCTTGCCAATACTTGTTGTTTTCTGGGTTTTTTTCTGATAATAGTCATCATAATGGGTGTGAGGTGATATCTCATTGTAGTTTTGATTTGCATTTCCCTCATAATTTTTGATGTTGAGAACCTTTTCATCTGCTTACTGGCCATTCATAGATCTTCCTTGGAGAAATGTCTATTGAAGTCCTTTGCCCATTTTTTAACGGTATGTTTTTGTTGTTGTTTGTTGAGTTTTAGGAGTTCTCTATATATTCTGGATATAAATCCTTATCCGATATGTGATTTGCAAACATTTTCTCCCACTCTGTGGGTTGCCTTTTTACTCTGGGGATAGTGTCTATGATATACAAAATTAAAAAATTTTTATGCAGTCTAGTTTGCCTATTTTTAATTTTGTTACTTGTGCCTCTGGTGTCATATCCAAGAAATCATTGCCAAATCCAATGTCATGAAGTTTTGCCCTGTGTTTCTTCTAAGAGTTTTATTGTTTTGGTCTTACATGTAGGTTCTTGATCCATTTTGAGTTAATTTTTGTGTGTGGTATTAGGTAAAGGTCCAACTTCATTCTTTTACATGTGGATATCCACTTTTCCCAGCACCACTTGTTGAAAAGACTGTCCTTTCCCCAGTGAGTGGTCAAGGTACACTTGTCAAAAATCATTTGACCATATATATGAGGGTTTATTTCTGGGCTCTCAATTCTATTCCATTGGTCTGTCTTTATGCCAGTACTAGACTATTTTGATTACTGTAGCTTTGTAGTAAATTTCAGAATCAATAAGTCTGAGTCCTCCAGTTTTGTTCTTCTTTTTCAAGTTTGTTTTGGCTATCTGGAGTCCCTTGAGATTCCATATGAATTTTAGGATAGGTTTCTCTTGCTCTAAAAAAACATCATTACGATTTTGACAGGTATTGGATTAAATCTGTGGATTGTTTTGGGTAGTATTGACATTTTAACAGTATTAAGTCATCCGATCCATGAACACAGGATGTGTTTCCACTTATTTCTTTCACCTTTAATTTCTTTCAGAAATGTTTTGTGGTTTTCATTGTGCAAGTCTTTCGCCTTCTTTGTTAAGCTAATTCCTAAGTATTCTATTCTTTTTTGATGCTATTGTCAATGGAATTGTTTTTGTCATTTCCTTTTCAGATTGTTCATTGTTTGTGTGTAGAAATGTGCCTAATTTTTGTGTGTTGACTTTTATCCTGCTACTGTGCTGAATTCACTTGTTATTTCTAACAGGATTTTACTTTTGTGGAATCTTTAGGGTTTTCTACATGTAAGATCATATCATCTGCAAGCAGATAGTTTTACTTCTTCCTTTCCAGTTTGGATATCTTTCATTTCTTTTTCTTGCCTAATTGCTCTGGCTACAACTTCCAGTAATATGTTGAATAGAAGTGGTTAGACTGGCCAAAATCAACCGCAATTTACTATCCATACAGTCTCCTGGAAGTTGCAAGCCTTCAACAGATTCTAGAATTCCAAAATAGTTACATTAGACAGATTCTGCCAGTGCACTTATTGTGTAGGTGGGGAGACAGATTCCTTGTGGTTCCTAGCCTGCCATCTTCCCAGAATCTTACTTCAAGCTGAGTATTTAATATCAGTACTACCCAGAACCTGGGCCAGTGTTTGTAGTTTTTTTTTAATTGCCTTCCCAACAACTGGCTCATCTGTTGCTTACAACAGCTGATATCTTTTCCATTCACTTCAGTGTCTCTTGTTCTTCATAGCTTCATTCATTCATTTGTTCATTTGCCAAATGCTAATGATGTTCCTGACACTTTGCTAGGTGCTGAAGAGTAGTAAGACCTGATCCCTGTCCCCAAGGAGCATTGTCCAGTGGTGATGGGACAGCCATGCACAGACACAGCTGGAAGAATTGGAGTGGAGAGTGTTCTCAGGGTTGTGCAAAGAATGTTTAATGAGAATGCACAGAAGGAAGGGGTTGACTCTGGCATGACAAAAGGGGTGACATTTGTTCTGGGCCATGGAGAATGAATAATGCTGTCATAGGTGGAGACTGGGAGGAATGACCTGTCAGACAGAAGGAGTAACCTAACCATAGGCTTGGAAGTATGGGCCTCCACTGGGACTCATAAAGTGGAATTTAGGATGCATGAAAGGAAGCATTGGGACATGAAGCTGCAAACGTAATTAGGAGACAATTCCCCTAATTTAGCAAGTTCTGCAACATTTACCACAATCCATTTTTAGAATATTTCCAACTTTCAAAAATTTCCCTCTTGATCATTTGCACACCTACCCACACCTACCTCTAGTTCTAGGTAGCCACTGATTTCTGCCTCTTTAGATTTGCCTTTCTGGACTATTCAAATAAATGGAATCATACAATGAGTAGTCTTACATGCCAGGTTTATTAGCATAATGTGTTTGAGATTCATTCATATTGTAGAATGTATCAGTAGTTCATTCCTTTTTACTACTGGTTGGTATTTTATTGTATGGATATGCTACATTAAAAAATTCACTAGTTGATAGATATTTGGATAAAAATGTTTGGATTTTTGGCCATTGTGACTAATGTCACTATGAACATTCACATACATGTCTCTGTGTAGACATGTGTTTTTACCTGGTTCCTTTTAATGGAATTTAGACACCAACATCTGGGCATTAGATGTTCTCATTGCTAATGGGGCATTCCTGCTCCTTGATCTCCTCAGCGGACGAAGCTAGAAGACGTATATATAATCATACCCACATATATACATATACTCACACTATATCTATTTATATCTATCTCCTATATACATTTCCTATAAATATCACACACACACACACACACACACACAACAGTTCATGAGGTTATACTGACCTATTCCAATTCAACACAACATCATTCTTCCTGCTTCCCTCATTCCATATTTGTTTCTTCTTTTCCTGCAGTTAGCATGCTGATTCCCAACAATATTGATATATTTACTAACTTAGTTAATCCTACAATATATACACAAATGCTTCAGAATTGCTACATTCATACCATTGCAAACAGCAAAGCTACTAAGTTGTTGTGTCAGGCCAGATCCTGCAAGAAGCAGGTGCCGAAATAGGATTTGACATACAAGAGCTTGATTTAGGGAATGCCTGTAATGGCTAAAGGGCAGAGAGCAGGAAAAGTCAGGGCAATCCTTTAGACTGCAATGCAGGTCTGTGAAAAGAGGAATAGGTAGGCACAGGTCAGACTGCAGTTCAGTCTGAGAGTCTCGGCTGGGACGATGGGGACGTCCCCAGCAAAGGTTATTTGTTAGAGGAGGCCTGCCTTGGGCAGGAATAGCCCTGTAGTTTTGTCATTCTTGGCCATTGGCTGAGAGTAACTCAGGCACATATGGCCGTGGCCATGGCATTCATGCCGCAGTGGATCTGAAGTTGTGGCAGCTGGAGACCTTCTGTCAGCTGCTCCCACAGCAGGTTGTCCTGAAAGGAAGTCTACTGTGGCCACCACAGTAGAGCTTAAGATTTCTTTAAAGTGTTTTTTATCTGTTGACCAAAGGTATACAAAGCACTGTGTTTAAAGTTACTTGGATTATTATTAATTTGAAAAAGTTTGATTCATTTGTTTGTATTTTATTCCCCCTATTCTTCTTGATTTATTTAATTTTAGAAGATATAAAACATTAACAAGTATCTAAAGTCAAAATTATACAAAAAGGTAAACTCAAAGTAGTGTTACTCTCCCACCTCCTATTTTTTTCTACTCCACTCCATTCTTTCATTTCCCCCTTCTTACGCAAATGTGTATACTCTTTTGTAGTTAAGAAACTTACCAATATATCTTGGAAACCACTCCATGTGAGTTCACAGAGATCTTCCTCACTTTTTTTAAACAGCATCATAGTACTCCATTGTGTGGGTGGACCATAGTTTACTGCACTGGTTTCCTATATACGCATGAGCATTTAGGCTGTTTTCCAATATCTTGCAATTACAAATAATGCCACAATGAATAACCTTGTGAGTATGTATTTTTCACATAATTTTTGGAGGTTTACCTTTAGGGTAAATTCCTAGGAATGAGATTACTCTTAGGTCAAAGGGTTA